AAAAACAGTCTTTATCCTATCAAAATCCTCCAACAACCTCATTCACTGCCACTGAGAACTACTACATTTTGATCAGCTCAAGGCTTTTTAGATGGCTTCATACTAGCAGAAAGCTGTACTGCGTCGAAACTGCTTACATACATGGGTTAGGCCATGTCCTTTTTAGCATATGCCTAAAAATTCAGCTCCTATTCGCACCCAAAGCCTCACATGCGACATGCCCTGATGTCCAAAAAATACGTTGCCCCAGCAACGTAGAGGCGCTGAATACAGAACTCCAGTCCCATTCTACAAGTCAAGCCAAAAAATCGGCTCAGTAACCTTACAGCCGTTTACTGGGACAGATCGAATTAGGCTCTACAATTTTTACCAGCATCCGTGTCGCTTGCGGATGAACTTTGTCCCTCCAGGGTCTATTGCAGTGTACTGAGAGCGGCCTACGTTATGGGAAAATCGTCGATGCGCTACTGATAGTGACCATCAACAAGGTGCTGGCAGATGACGATATTTTTTTTGGTATTACCGACAAGGAACAGAGGGACGCTAGGATAGCTATTTCTGGCTTATAAGCCGTCGTCACCTAGCGATACCCAACTCCAGTGTTGCCGCTGAAATTGCTGCCACAATCGAGTTTCGAACCCGCAACCTCTCTGGTCAGAGTCAAACGCCCTAAACATTGAGGTACGCGTTGGTTGTCTTGAAGATATCCCCGTCGGTGTCTAAAAGGGATGTGTGTCGACACTCTGGCACCCAGACTCCATGATCTGATTGAGCTGGTTGGACCCGTCCTGAATGCTAGAGTTCGTCAATCCTTGTGCCTTTCTTCCAAACTGGTGTGCAGTAATGCAAGAACTGCTAACGCGCAAGTGTCCCTGTGGTGCGTGTTGCAAATATGTTTACCACTGTCATTTCAGGCGATTTCAGAGAGAGAGAGCGCGTGGCACTATGAGGAGACACAGACAAACCAAGCCTCGAGGTGGCCGTGGATTCACCAACTGTCTCTTCCCACGCCGGCAATGCACTCGCCATTGTTACCTGTAACTGACGGCCGCCTGTATTGCTGACTTAGCTGCTGCAATGTTTTGCATGAGTCCCTTTGGCGAGCAATGAGGCTAGACGCCGTGCCCATAGAAATCATCACTTTGATCCAGGCCTGCAACTACTGCCTCACTGCCTGAACGTTGGCCGTTTGATACTCAGTCTGGCGTTCGTCGAGGTGGCTTTCTGTTGTGCATCCTGTTCAACGGCGGTCTGTATGTGCGGAAGGCTGGAGTTTTTTTTGACTGCCGTTGCCTGACAAACACCTTCGAGTGAAGTAGACTAACTTGGTCTTAAAGGAGACACTACCCACTCATTATCCATCGACTGCTCAACGACTTCAGAGACGTCGCCTTCGACCCGATGGCAGTGTCCACCTGGGTGTGTCGAATACAGGACCTGGTTGACTGCAGTCCATTAAGAAACAGGTGGTTTTTGGAACCTCAATATTTGGTCTCCTTTACTGGCTAAAAGCGAGGATTGATTTCATCGCATTCACTGCTGTAAATATTGACGCACGTGCAAAGTTACAGGCCGTGACATCATTGAGGCCAACTGTATCGGTCATAACTGCGATCGTACGATGCGTAAGTGGTATGCCCAACCCTTTGGCAGTTGATGGGCTTCGAGTCGTATCTAGGGTATCTTGAGCGCAGCGTACTCCCGAATGTTTGGTTTTCGTCTTCTCTACTTTTGGAATAGATCGAACGTACTTTATGGCGCTTTACTGATTTTTAGTTGAAAAGTTCGTCTATCTAGGTATTAGTTTGCTCCAGGTCTTCGTAAATACCTACGGTCCGTAGACATTCTCTGAAGTGATCGAGATATTCCTCAGTTGGGAAAGCCATTTTAATCGACTGATCTCATCCAACTCAGTCGTGAGGTAGACTTTAAGTTAAGTGCATTAGTCTACCTGCATTATCATTATAGCAAACCTAATTCCGTTCACGTTTCTACCTAGGGTTCTTGTTTTGTAAAACAAAGCTAATTTTGGTAATGGGGTGAACAATTAGTAAGCGTCTGCCCCTGATGCCCGAATATGTGTTTGATTGTTTATTATAAATGCGCCTTAGAGGAGCCACGCGGTAGACGGGCTTAACCAAAATGGAGGCTAGATCAGAGCCTGGTACGCATCGTTAGCGATGCGCACCCATAACAAATGTTGCATATGGGGGGTGTGGTGGCATGCCTAGGTGAGGGTTATCTCCACGCCAGACCCCGCGCCCTCTCCCGCCTCCAGTGGTCTTGACTGGGTTATGACACCGGGAACAAATGGGAGAGGAGCACGACGGATGCTGTGTAAGTCTATTATCACCGTTAACTACACAACAAGCAGTTCACTGTCTCAGCATACCACTGGACACAGGGTAGACAACTTCGACAACGACAAAAGAACTGCTATTTGTTCACTTTGAGTCTTTTCTGGCATTTTTTTCCTCCATACATTTTTGGCTCGTTTTATCCAAATAAAACATCACAAAGGATTGTTGGTTCGTGTACATAAAGAAGACAACGTTTTAGGAATCAACATGTGGTCAAGGAAGACTAGACACGCTTAATCATCCTATCAGGACTTACAGTGAAGTTAAATGGAGTCGGTGAACACGTCCTCGTCGGGGTCTTCGCCATTTTCAGTGGGCAGTGGTTCGTACGGCTTTTCAACGTCAATGAAAACAAGGTAGAGGGTGATGGCCATGATTATGCTGACGAGTAGAGCGATGACAACAAGAAGATGATGCGAGATTATAGCAACATCAGCCTGAAAGGACACAGGAGGACACATGAACCTGTATTGGAGAGCCAGCTATAAAGTCATAGTGCACAGTAGGAGTAATAAAGGGTTCCTTCGAGTTTAGGCAGGTATCAAGAATGCATGACAGGTGGGTCGAACGAAATTCAAACTGACATCTAATTGCTGATCTAACAAATCGGAGAAAAGACGACAAGTTACAGCGACATGAGCAATGCTACCTGTCAGAGGCTTAGTGCTCAGTTTTCCTTCCAGGAAGGAGCACGTTTCCATCCTACTCCATCAACTCACAGTAATGGTTGCGCAGCGTGACTGCATTGATTCAGGAAGGTGCGTCCACTAAAATCAATAAATACGGTTTTTGTTTCGAACGATGCAAGCCCAAGCCTAGTAAGATGACCAGCACGTGAGACCAACGCTCAGGGGAACCATAACAGACGCGTCTCCGTCGCGTTCCCACCCGCCCTCACGGCGGCCAAGGTCTGCTACATGTGGTGTTAATACTAATCTGACACTCGTTCACCCCTTTCCGCTCACCCTTGTTGATTAAAATTCACCCCTACCTTCTTACACTCGTTGATTAGCATTCACCCCTGCCTCCTTACGAACGCTTGATTTTCGCCTATATAATCCTAACCACTCTTCATCCCTTTTCAGTTCATGTACGACAATTATAAGATGAGTAAAGCCCAATTCTAGGGTACTCGACTTCTCATTCTTCACGACTGTTCGGCTATTGCGTACTGAATAACTCGACTTTATCCCAATCACGACACTACACCAATTTCCCTACGGTGGATCTGTCTCTCCTGCTCTCCATCTGTTTTGATGACGGAGCAGCCCCTCCCGACCATGCTGCTCCGACTCCTTCTCCTTGCTGCCGGGATTGAGGCCCACCCGGCGGGGCTCCTGATTCAACAAGGGTTACTAGCCAGCCAACCAACGCTCAGTTGGCACTAGAACTCATGCAAATGTTTGCGACCATAGCCGATAAAAATGTAGGCTAGCGTTGTGCTAACTCATTACTCTGACCATTTTCTATCTCTCTACTACTACTCTGTTTTTATTTTTAGTTCCAACAAGCTAATTTTAAGATGAATAAAGTTCATTTCTAGGGTACTCATAAATTCGGACGCTCTCGTCTGTTTGCCTTATACTTGCTCAATCGAGCGAATTTGTCTGTTCCGATTACGACAGCCAGTATGTTGGCCGGTAAGAACCCTACAATTTTGACTGTTTCGGAAGTGTATACAAGCAAAATGACAAACGCGCATCACAGAATCAAGCAATTTTACCTGGTTGGTCTGCTGGAACCATATCAACGGCCAATATACGAAGGCGGACGAGCTTTATTTAGAAATTAAACTGAAGGCGGAAAACAGGAGCAACGATTTTGGCGATTAAAGTAACAACGAGAGGCACATTGAATGGAGCCAGCAAAGAAAACTAATATTCTGAGTTAGCAGTGGTGAAATATCAAGGAGTTGCGAAGGCTTTGCCCCGTTTTCTCCTACTAGAGCTGTCAATATGACTGAAAACGGGCGCGGATACAACAACAGTAAAGGAAAATGCTGTCATCAACTACGCATGTGGCATATTCGACATAAAGTAGACGTACAGCAGTGATTTATTAATCGAAATTCTTA